TAAAATACTTGGTTTGGACCAAATTTTTCATTACATGGCTTTATGATTTGTGTTAAGCATTAAGTCACCAAAGCACTGATTTTATAGAAAACAGATTTGCTTGAAACGTTCCCCTGAATATTTGAACTTATTAACAGTTAACTGAAGTGTTAACTATTTGCAACTAACTTTTCCACCTCAGTCCACCTGTGGTTCAGTACCTAGAGGCTACAAAAGGAGACCATACACCCCTGGATGAGGAATGGGAGGCCCTCCAAATTTGAACTGCTGGATTGTAACCCCCAGACCTCTCACTACTACTGGACAGGCTGCCCAAGATTCAATTGGTAGATGCAGCAAGTTGTATTTCTGTGTTTCCAGAGGGTAGGGCACAAACTAATAGATTCAAATGGCAAAAAGAGAGAGGAGATTCTGACACAATATTCGGAAGAAATTCTTGACTAACTATAAACTTGTTGACAGTGAACTGGGTTACCTGGGAAAGTGGCAAAATGTTGGAGGTTGTCACACAGAGCCTGGACGACCATCTTTTGGAGATGCTTTAACTGTAGATGCTTGAATTGCCAAATTTATGGGCACTGCAGTCCAACAATGTCTGGAGGGTCACATGTTCCTTCCTGCTGGAGCATGTGACTAGTCCTTTCTCAGTAGGCCAGTCGATCAATCCTAGATGCCAATTATATCCATGGGACAAGGAAGTCATGATTTAATGTGTGTCCCATGGATTTCCGTGGGACCTAAGTTCACTCAAATAGGTCTGCATCCCACTCATCCTGTCTAGCTTGTCAGTTCCTTAATTTACACTACAGTGGGGTCTTGACTTGAGAACTTAATCCGTATTGGAAGGCGGTTCTCAAGTCAAAAAGTCTGTAGGTCAAGTCTCCATTGACCTACAATGCATTGAAAACCGATTAATCCCGTAACAGGCCGTTTTTGTTCCATTTTGGGTTTTTTCTGGTCTGTAAGTCAATTCTCAGGCTGCACTCAAATAGGTCTGCATCCCACTCATCCCGTCTAGCTTGTCAGTTCCTTAATTTACACTATTTGTTACCTAAAGTATCTTCAGTCTCAAAAAGAAAGGACCATGTCTTTTACAATAGACTAAATAACTCAGAAGCATGAAGAAAATGAATAAACTTTTTTAAAAGTTAATCTTTACAAACCAAAAGGTCTGGTTTAGAAAATGGAGTCATTGTCAAATCTAGGTGATGAAACATTCGTGGTAAAGGCTGCTCCTCCTCCTCCTACTGCTACTGCTACTGCTGCTACTACTACTACTACAGCAGTGTTGGCCTAATACCTTCAGGGAGGAAAGCAGCATTCAACGTTATTCTTCTTTCCCTATATTAAATAGCCTTTGAAATTTGTTTTTAGGACAATTCTCTACCCCAGTTCCCCAGTACTCGATGGGTGCCTTGTGCAAAGACACAGCTGCATGTAAATTATTGATTAAAAATATTCTCCAGCACTCCATCATGCCTGGCATGACTTTTGGAACCTTAAGATTGTGGTTGGTTTGTTTTTTAAAAAAAGAACTCTGAATCTCTGTTGAACTTTTCCCCCGCCACAGGCATATAACACATCTCCAGAATCCATTATAGCTAAGGCTGTTGCAAGATCTTTTGCTGCCTGATGCAGAGCAGCAAACGGCATCACCCATTTACCCAAGCCATGATTCAGAGTCCTCAAAGTTGACCCAGTTACAAGGACACATGAGGCAAACTCCCACTAATACATCTTCCCTTCATAGGTAGTAAAAAGAAAATGACAAGAACTGAAATAACTAAACATGTACCTTCTTTCACGACACTCCTACTTTGCTACCAGAGGAGATAGCTTCTCTCCAACTAATGACAGGCTCTGTTCCGATTATACCAGCCTCCTCCCACACCTGTTGTCCTCCAGATGTTTTAGGATATAATGCATATCTACTACACACATTTGCCTTTCTGGATGGTCCTGGTGGGAGCTGTAGTTCAAAACATTTCAAGAGGACTAGATTGGGAAGGCTGTTCTACATACCAGAGCATTATTTAGGGACTTTCCTTACGGTGATTAAGACTTGCTTATGATGGAGCACAGGACTATGCCAGTTCATCTTGACTGCTGATGCAGTTTTTTCAGGACTGTCCCCATCCATTCACCAAGGGGCACATCTGTAGAGGGAAGGCCGTTCCATACACGTAAGCGCCTCCCACGATGTGGAACTCTACCTGCCCCTCACAGAACCATGAAACATGTTGGCAGTTACGTGTGTAATAAGTGACCTGAACAATCTGGAGGACCATAGACAGAGATATTGCCAGGTGGGCCCAGGTATCTGTTTCCTTCTTCTCTTTACTCTTTTGATGCATATTATTATTGTTGGGCAGTAATAAAAATAATCATGGCCCATCAAATCAATTCTGACTTATTGCAACCCTTTTCAGGGTTTTCTAGGTACAGAATACTCCGTAGTTTACCATCCCCTTCTTCTGGGAGTATTCAGGGGCAGTGCAGCTTTCCCAAGGTCACATAGGCCACTCTACTTGCAGGAGACACAGTGGGGAATCGAACTGCCAACCTCTGGCTCTGCTGCCAGATACCTAAACTTCCAGCTAGCTCTGAGCATCACTTCCTTCTTATTCTCCAAACTCAGTGTCATTGTTGTCCTTTGTTATGGATGAGGTACCGCATGAGCTGTACTGGCTACTACAGTAACCCCATACATGGAAGCTACCTTTAGGAAAGACCAATGGCTCAGGCAGAAGAGCTGAGAAACCTTGATGGTCTCAACAAGGAGGACTTGAGGACAGAGATGAGCACAAACCAACAAACCATCAATTCATGCCAATCTCTACTTGAGGAATTAAATTGTTTCTAAACCCCACCTGACTTTAGGAAACAGTAAACTCAGTACAAACTGAAGGACAAAAGCTAAAGATGATGGTGAGGCTTCAGCATGGAAAACTGAGGTCATGGTGGCAACATGCTATTGCACCGAGATGTGGAAGGCCTATTGCACCCATGGAAAACTGAGGTCATGGTGGCAACATACTATTGCACTGAGATGTGGAAGGCGACAGAAAATCACCAGATAATAAACAAAACATATATTTCAAGTACCTCATAAAAAGACTTCACCCCCTGGCAGGCTCTAGATAACTAGAGGATACTATGGATCTCTGAGCTGGAAGTTAGGTTAGGAACTTGGAAAGTATGACGTTTGTATATTACAGGGAAAATCCACAGTAAAGGAAAAGAAAGGAAAAGAATGAACATACATCTTCTTGGATTAAATGCAATTCTTTGGAAAGGATCAGGCAAGCACAGCTGCACTTTGACATACTGTTTTGTGGGAATGAGCTTTCCATCTTATCTGGACTTTCCTCTGTTTTCTAGCCCAAGGAAATTGCCTCTCTCCCTGCATTGCCCCATGCCTGGCTTTTCCGTTCCTGACAAGATACAAATTCCTATTTATGTTCTGTGCTGGCAGAATCCTGTTCAAGTCTTTGTTTGCAAATGCTCAGACTTTGATTGACAATGCCAATTCCAAACAAATACAACTTTTTGGAAGGTATTAAGTATTGTACCTGTTTATGTAAACAGAGTTATACTGTACAATCTATTTATGGAACATACCATAGTTTTGTGGCTTATGAGATTAAATAAAAGATGTCCTTCTAGTTGGTGTACGGTTATAAGGCGTTGTCTTGTAATTGAGGTATGTTGAGCTCTGCGGTTAATTAGCTGCTGGCTTTCTCCTTCTTACACAGTGCTTCACTGTTCTGGCTTTGAATTTCTGTGGCCTGTGGTTGTTTAGCTGACTCCCCACCACCACCACCAATCTACAAATACCTACTGAGAATCTCCTGGAAGAAGCCTGTTGTGCTTGGCATGAGGGAGACAAAACTACTCCTACTTGAGTACAAAGTCGTTCTTATGAACCATATGTAGAAATATGGAGCATTTTCCAATGAGCCTAGAATAGATCCTAAAAACAATGGACTAAATCTATTTGATAGAGTAGACTCAGTGAATAAATGAGGCTTGTTAAGTCAACACTTTGGAAGTTCCCATGAGTCCAGTCTAGCTGGAATGAACAGCTTGATATCATAAATTTAAACCTTCAGGAACAAGCTGATCATCTGCAGCCATTTTTAGTGAAAGTGAGAGGACAGGTGCTAACCAGGCAGGATTCTGTTAGTTAAGAGACTGCAAATGGAGAGAATTTCTCTTCAGACAATTGACACGCCTGCTGCTAGTTGCAAACGGGATGGAGGTGTAAAGGCTGATACTGGTGCATCGAACAGTCAAGCGAAGCCATTCTGCAGCAAACCCATAAAATCAAAGGGAGAGAGAGGGAAATACTGTAAGGGGGGAAGCGGAAGAAAAAAATCACCAGGAAGAGTCAGTGGTTAAAATGGAGGTGCGCTAGCGGGCATGGAGAGACGGACCACTCCAGAAGCGTCCAGAAGGACTTCACTTTCCCTCGGGGGTGAAATAGTGTTGGCGTGCCAGAGAAATAACTTAGCAGTTCCCAGGGAGATGCTGTTGCTGCTCTTAGTGACGCAGCAAACGTGGTGTGCCTGCAAGCAGCAGAGCATCCTTCCCTTTTCCCCTCTGCATCATCACCTCCTCCCTCCCTCCCTCTCTCTCGCTCTCTTTTCCCTGAGCAGCAACACCAACCCCCCCCCCCGTCTCTCTCTGCACATCTCTGGTCTTCGACATTCAGCTGCATTCTGGCGCTTGCTGGCTTTTTCTCTCGCCCTGTGACTCCTCTACAGCACCATCATCCCCGCAACCAGCCTACGTCACCGTTTCCCACTCTTCCTCTCCCCCTCCCAACACAATTAGCTCCCCTTCGTTCCTTCCTTTTTTGGCATCTGCTCTCCCCCCACCTATAGCAGCAGCCTTCTCCCCCCCCCTACTCGCACCCCCACTTATAGGGATGTAAATGGTACGGTCCCTACCTCCAA